CCCCCCCCCCCCCCCCCCCCCCCCCCCCCACCCCCCTCTGTGACAAGGTCACTGGGTGAATATGCTCGTAGACTTGGATGGGTTGCAGGACCAGGTGCGATGCAGGGTGAGATGCAGGATGCGATGCAGGGTGAGATACAGGATGCGATGCAGGGTGAGATACAGGACGTGATGCGTCTCGTCGCCTTTCGCCGTCTGGCACGTGGGTCCGTCTCGTCAGGTTCCACAATCTTCCTTCCCCGGCGACGACGATGAGTCGAGTTTGGAAAAGAAGCCAGGAATTCTCCCTGCGTCTTCTCGTGGTGTGCTTAGCGATAGAATTGGATAGGAAGTTCGAGTTCCCTAAGCCCCCTGCCCCCCTGCCCCCCCGCCCCCCTGCCCCCCCCCCCCCCCCCCATACACACCGTGTTCGGCGAAATACAATGTAGTTGTTGTCGGAGGCATTCATTCGAACGAAGACGACAAATAAATAGAGGGAAGATCTGTCGGTCTTTGGCGCATGAGACGATCCCGTGGATTCGGGCCGTCGAACGAGGACGGACCGGGAGAAAACCATCGGGAGGAGGGAAAAATCTCCAACGTTTTCTTCGCACAATTCGTGCGAGAGAGGAATTCCCGCAGCAAAAAAAAAAATCTCGGTACTTCTTTCTCTCTGCGTTTTTTTTTGGCTATGCTTGCGTTTGAAACGCGTGCGAGGATTTGGGGTTGCACTCGCCAAAAACGCCATTTCGCCTTCTCCGTGCGAATTTTCATCGTGGAAAAGCCAGTCCCGCCCTTTCGTGCGAAGGAGAAGAAATCCAAGAGTCGTTATTTTTTTTAAACTGCTAAAGGGCATGTCGATTCGCAGAACTCGACGTGACGGGTGACGGCTGACCCGATTACCAACAGATTTTGCATCGACGGCGAGGAACGAGATGCTCGTTCTGCCAAATGGGCATCTCTTCGGTAATTGCAAGGATCGGTTGCACGAGATCGATCCTGAAAATGTTTTTTTGTGTGTGTGTGCGGGGATTCCTAGGAAATGAGGTCGATGAAAACGTTCGCTGGTTTTCATTTTTGGATTTGGCTCCTTTTTTCTTGGCCGCCTTCGTTGGCCGTCGAGATCCGAGACGATCGCCGTTTCTGTCAAGGAGCAAATGGCAAGGGAGAAATATCGCCGAGAGATCTTTAGAATATTGGCAGGGTCCCAGGAGTTTCGGGTCCCTCGCTGCGGATTCAACCGATCCCGATCCGCCGCCGATAGAACACCGATGGATCCAGCCGATAGAACACCGCTGGGTCCGGTCGATAGAACACCGCTGGGTCCGGTCGATTCGGAAAGTAACGGATACCAGGACCTCCATGCATCGGGTACCCGAATACGCATGCGACGGGTATCCGATACTCGTATTGCCTGAGGTATGATACACTCGGCCAGAAGCAAGCAAGAGAATCCCCAAATTTGCGGTGACCTCTCGCTGGAAATGCCTTTGTTTCGTCCAAGCGACGAGACCCTTCCGGCACCGTCGAGGACGAGAGCCGGCAAAGGGTGCAAAGTGGTCCCAGTCTTCACATCCGAAGAGGGGGAGACGGACCCGACCGGTCGAGGCCAGGCGGGGCGGGGCGGGGCGGGGCGGATTTGGAGGGCGTCGTTTCGATGGCGACGCGAAGTCCCCGAATCGAGGCCAAAACGTTTCCAACTTGAAAAAAGTTCGTTTTCACGGCTTTTGGCACGTCGACATCGTATGGCCCGACGACTGCTTTTTTTTTTTCACGTCCGAGGGAAACGCGTCCTTGCTCCTCACCGTGTGACACCATCTCTTCGCCCCTTTCGCCCCCTTTCGGCGGGAAGAAAGCCCTTCCGTCGGATCCCGTGACGGAGGGAGCCGAATTCCTCGGCCTTCTTCTTCCTTGCCAACATTCTCTTCCTCGCACGAATCCTTCTATTCTCGTCGGGCAGATGCATCGTGTCACGCACCGCGTCGGCCGAGTTCCAACCGGAAAACAATTTTCGTCCGGGCGGAAGACGTCGCAGATCACGATCGCGCGCGCGCGCGGCGCCGCGTGTGACGCGAGATTCCTCTCGCGTTCGCGAAGGAAATTCCCACCGGAATTTCCACGAACGTATACAGCCCCGAAATCTCTCCATCGTCGCAGCACGAATCCGCCCCAGCGCGAAGGCCTAAAACATGCCACAAGCCCTCGAATGCATCGAACGCGATTCCGGGTATCGAGAAGAGTGGGAAAGTTCCCCCGTCGCGCAGCGCGAAGAATAGTTTGCATGCTTCGTTTATGTTGGAAATTCTGGGAAGGAGCGGATCCTCGTGTGCACCGAGTGCTCTTCGACCTTTCGCACAAGAGTCCTTGTTGACCTTTCCCCTCTTCTTCCAGGTTTGAAGCCTTCCAGAGAACCGCTGCGATGAGGTGAGTCGAGTACCCTTTCCCCCGTCGACGGAGAAGTCCCGCGATCGCACCCCGACCTCCCCTCCGCCTCCCGCGACCTCATCCCTCCTCTGCCCGCTCTCGACTGCCACCCGCGAGAAATCGTCCAATGGCAATCGAGGAAGGCCCCGGGGCGTCCGAGAGCGAACGCGGAGGCGGCAAAGCCATCCACACGGGATGGAAGGGTTCTTCCCGTCGGAGTGCGTCGCGCATTCGGAAGAGATTCGGATCGCGTGAGCGAATTCGGGAAAAGGGGCACGAAAGGGGACTTTTTCCACGCATTCCGCACTACTATTCTTGACATGTCACGTGACGTCACTTATCGGTTTCTCCTTTTAGTAATACTTCCCGGGAGCAAATTCCTTCCATTCGGTGGCTCAGTTATGCTATAAATAAATGTCCTTTAACATACTTGGTTTAATAAACTTTTGTAATTTTTACGGCTTCTTTCTCCTCATCGTTTCACACGGCAACCCTGAAAGAGGAAATGTCGTCGGACGATGTGTAGCAATCGAACCTGCAAATTTTAGCTAACACAAACCTTCTCCGAATTTCCTCACAGTTTGCAGAGGAAAACATCGGAGACGGCACAAATATTTGGAATCCGAGGAAATAGCTGATAATCCCCAGAGCGACCGTGGTCCGTGGCCGTTCCGCATTCCTGGGAAAAGATTCCCCAGTTCGTGCTCGAGCCCTGGTAATGACGTCTTTCGTGCCTTTTTCGGCACGAAATTGTTTTTTTATTTTCGGTGTCATTTCGCTACATTTTAATACATCGATGACCCCAGAAGGAACCCATACCAATCAAAGTGCTTTTTGCGAGCATTTTTTTTTGTTGGTTTCCAACTCATTAGGACTGTCGCTGGACTTCTCCATCACCCCACATGATGGATGCGATCTCAACGATAAGCAGGAATAGATTGAAAAATGTCAAATTTTTTTTCCCCTTCCCCTGCAGAGGAATGACGACAGAGACGAGACGATACACGTCCGAGTCCCAGGAGATCCGAACCCAGGTGAGTGGCCGAACTCGTGTGAACGACCGAACTCGTGTGAAGAACCGAACTCGGGTGAAGAACCCAAAGGGAGCAAATATTATGGTAACGAATGAAGGCTTGCGCCTCGGTTTCGAAGGCGTGTAAGAGACTGGAAGCTCTGGGGAGGATCCAAGAGAAATATCGAAGGAAGAGGTCAGGTTTACCGGTCCATTTCCGAGTGCATCGTTCACCGTAGAACGACCGAATTGAGGTTTTTTTTTTTCTCACGACCGATTCTTTAAAGTCGGAGACGTAAACGCGATCCGTCTCGGGGCATCCTTCTTCGAAGCGAAGGAGAATAAAGGTTCTCAGCCGGTCGTAAGTGCCATCGCGTTGGCGACGATAATTCTCGGTTTCGTACGATGCGCGTCCAGATGCAAGGTGAATTTTTGCCACGCTCTCTCCTGCTCTCCTTCTCGAGAGAAGACGCATCCTCCTCTCCTCCCCGACTCCAAAGTCGAACGAGAAGGAATGCACGACCGTTGGTTTTCCCCCGGATTTCTCGTGGATCCTTCCCCGACGTTTCTGCCGATTTCACCTTCCCCTCCTCGTCGGTTCGCTCGACGCTCGAATTCCACGGAAGGTACGAGAGGCACGGAACGAGGCACGGCGCGAATCGCTCCGGTCGCGAATCGCGCGTTCCAGCGACCGACTCTCCGAAGGATTCCGCTTCCCGATGGTTTCCGCCGACCGCGGTGCTCCCTCGACATCGCGTCGTGGCCTGGACCGAGACGAAGACCACCTCGGCCAGCATCCCCGTACCGAGCGCATGCGTTCCTCTTCATTTTATACCACACGAGGACGAAAGAACACCTCTTACAACTAACTATTGACTGAGCGGGAGTGCGAAAGGAGCCATGCAAGCTCGGCTTTCCTCCTCTCTCCCACCCTCCCCCTCCCCCTCCCCCTCCTCCCCCACCCTCCCCCGCCCCCTCCCCCCCTCGCAATACCGTTTGAGGTTCCCTCCTTCCCTCGGTGGCCCCCTTCCCAAACATCGATTCATTGCGGCGCAGTTCCCCTACGTTCGTAAATTGGGGCACCCATGCGCATAAACGATCGGCGAGGCCGGGACCATCAGGGACCGCGAATCGGCACGACCGAACGCCACGCCGATTTTCGTCGCCTTAACGCGCGCTCGTCATCGACCGGGGCGAATGCCACGCGGCTCTCGCACGAAAATCAAACCTTCAAACTTCGTCCGTTTTAATTACGAGCATTTTTAAGACGCCGAGCGCGGGTGTCGATTTTGACACTCGATTTCCTCTCGCGAGAGCGCTGCGTGCCAATTTCGTCCCATTACGCGCATATTTTAAACTCATATTTGCGTTTCTTCGAAAATGGCCCGAGCCAGGGTCATGCATTTGGCAAAAACGAGCAGCAGAAGCACAAGTTCCGAGTGCCCCTTTCCGAGGGGGCATTCGGAAACCGAGTGCCCCTCTCGGAGGGGCACTCGGAAGACTCTCGCAGTCTCTCGGAGACCCAGCACCGTCGATCCTCGCCGTCATCACGGCGACGGGAAATCCCAAACCTCTTTTTTTTTTTTTAAAGATCGCGATTGTGGGTCGGCAAAATCGAGAGAGGACTTCTTTTTTGCTTAGAGGAAATATGCTCCTTGGGGTCGAGCACGGGAACGGAACGATTCATTCCAGAGAGACTTCGCCGTCTGGACGAACCGGGCAACCAGAACCAGCGGGAAGGGACTGGGGGTTCCATGCCTTCCCAAAATATTTATTCTATTATTATAATTATTATAATAATAGAATCTAATTATAAATATTATTATAATTAGGAAACGCTGCGGCAACGCAAACTGCCGCTCCCAGAAACGACGACGACGCCTAACGTCACGACGGTGACACCTAACGTCACGACGGTGACACCTAACGTCACGACGGTGACACCTAACGTCACGACGGTGACACCTAACGTTACGACGGCGACACCTAACGTCACGACGGTAACGGCACCGTTTGTTTCCTCCTAGGCGTACCGGACGCTGCCGTTGATCACGCCGAGCGTCAAGGTCAGGCGGGATCTTCCCACGGGATCTTATCTCAAATTGCTCTATCCTCACGAATACTCTTCTCACCAAGACTTCTTCGATCAAGACAACATGAGACGAAAGGTAACGCCTGACGTCGCCGTCACTCCGTCTCGAGATGCATGCATTCGAGACTGCCATTCTCGGTCGTCGCTGTTCCGGGAATAAACGGAGATAATAAAAAAAAAAAAAAATCGAGCCCTTTTTTTTTCCGAGTCTCTGGCAGAGAACATTCGCTCATAATATATTAATATACATGGGGCTCGCACAGGAATCTCTTCTTTGCTATCCGAGTATTTCGATCCTGACTCATTAGTTATGTCTGGCTCGGAAGCGCCAATATCTGTTTTTGCTACCGTCAACTCGCAGTTGCTAAAACGAGTTAACAAATTCCTTCGTAGTCGACGTTCTCTCTCGGCTCGCGATTTCTGCAGAATTATTTTAAAAGTGTACGTAAAAATGCAGCACCCTGCAATGGCGCTCCAAAAGGTGCTCCAAAAGGTGCTCCAAAAGGTGAGCTCAGGCACCAATAAAGTTGCGACGAAAATGCTTCGGTGATTGAGATACGAAGTATTAGGACGAAATCTTACCTATTTGGCAGTAAAAATCGGTCGAGTAACGAAAGATGCCGTCTCGGACAGGTGATGGGAAGCGTGACCAGCGCAGCCGCGTCTCACTACGAACAGTCCACTCTCCTCTCTCCCGTCACGTCTCAGCTCCAGTGAGTTCCCATTCCCTCCGTCCGATTCGGGGATTGAAACGGGAATGCGACGGCGACGGAACTTGTGTGTCCAGCACGGGCGAGGCGAACGTGCCGAAGCACTACGACCCGAAGATGTCGCCGACTTTCCACGCCGTGCAGGCGATGGAGGCCCGTCAGGAAGCGCGGGAACAGGAAGCGCCGCAGCAGAGGATCTATCATCCGCCTCAGCCGCTAGAAAGAGTCTGTCGTCCGATCTCTCGAATTCATTCGTGTCATCAATTAATTAATTTTTTTAAATTCTTTTTTTTATTTCTTTTTTTAAATTTTTTTATTTTTATTTCTTTATTTTTTATTTCTTTTTTTAAATTTATTTAAAATTTCAATTTCTAAAAAAAATGCAAATAATTCTCACCTGTCTTCCAAACAATCGTTAAGCAATCGAAGTTGCCCATTTTTTGTCGCTGCCCTTGGGAATCTGCTGGCTCGAGAAGCCCAACCGCATTACACCTCCTGGCTCCCCGCCCATCCCAAACGGAACGAGAAAACGATCTCCTTCTCTTTAAAGCTGTCAGTCTGTCTCTCAAAACTTTATAAGGGAGGCGAAACCCCTTTGTTGTTCAGGCATTTATGGATCGTTAGTGTTTTTTTTTTTTTCTTCCACTCATATTGTATCATATTTATCTCTCTCATAAATGCTTTGCCTCGGGATTTGAGTGAGTTTGATCACGTGTGCCGTTTCCGTCATGCGTTATTTCCCGAGATTCCCCAATCTGCATAAATTAGTCGCGCTGGTTTGGCTTGCCTGTGCTTCACATCTTATCTAATAATCTTATATAATGAGATGTATGAACTTCGAATAAGAAAGGCTCATATGCGAGGACTCGAGAACCAAAGCCATGTTTCCCAAAAACATTTTCTTCTTCGTACGAACGCGGAAATTATGCCGATGGATAAAAATGACAGAGATCGAGGTGCGGAAACTCATTAGTAAAACTTATTAGCGGAAAAGTACTGTACCAAAAGGCAAATGGGTATTCTTTGATATCATTTTAACACGGAGAAGAAACTGAATGCCAAGGATTACATCATTTTGCTCTTAAGCGCCTCACGTGCTTCTATATGTGAAGTGAATATAGTATTCGAATTTCGAATATTATATTCACAGTTGAATAGAATATTCGAAAATGGACCCGATGCTCGTTTCCTCCGCAGAGCCACTTTTACCCGTCGACGAAGATTCAGCAGAGCTACTCGTTCAAGAAAGTGATGGCCGATGTCCTCGGAGATTATCCCGGCGTCTAATCCGGCGTCTCATCCCCTCCTTCTGCTTCCTCCGTCTCATCTCTCTTGGGTATATTTCGCTGGATAAGAGATACTAACCGATGACGAAATGTGATACGTCCGTTGCAGCTCATTTCCCTCGGAACGCGACCGGGAAAAAGGTTCTTCCGAATCGCGAATCGAATTTTCCATCTCCGCGAGCACCGAGTCTTCATTGTCTTCATTGTCTTCATTGTCTTCATTGTCTTCATTTCACGGAAACCGTAAGCCTATCGTAATGCATTCTGCATCGACCCCTATGCCGTCTGTTTCTGTTCCAAGCCACGGGTTAACTTCAGCGGTGTGACTGAGTGTAAAAAATATCGAGATGGTATATGTTCACGATATATGTTGATTCCAATGTCGATTGTGGTTTTCGAGAGTCAATAAACCCCGGATGTAATGCTAAACTCACATCGCCTCGACGGTCGCCATTTCCCCGCCCATCGCGAGAAATGAAAAAAAAATCCTGGATTACACTCGAGACTGTATTGGAGGAGAGAAAAAAAAGAGGAAGACTTAAGGGTGATGGTCTTCGTCGCTTTTCGTTTCGGATCTGTCTTCCAGTTTTGTCTTTCCTTGACCTTCGCCATGTCTGTGCCGTTGTCCTTTGCCATCCCCTCGTGGGACCAAACGGTAGAATCTCCGGTGGAGCTTCTCTTTTTGCACGAGTTTAGCCGGTGAATGAATTTCGTCATCGTGGCGGTTCTTATTGTCTTTCCGTGGCCGTTTCTCGACGGTCTCTTTTATCGGTTCGGTGGAGAACGGAATCACGAAGCTTTTCTTTTTCTTCCCTTTTGTCCTTCTGGTTTCCCCGTCTCTCGTTTCGTATTCCACTTTTTCACACTTTCCACGACTATGCGACGAAGGAAAAGAGACGTGCGGGTTTGACGTCTTTGGCTGTGGGAATCCGCTGTCACTACCGTTCCCAGAAGTCAATCGGGACGCGTGAGATGTTGCTGTTTTGTGCAAATTTTCACCTGCGTGCGTCGGACGAGGAGTTTCCTGGAGTTTTCCTTCCTCGAACCGATCCTGCAAAGATTTGTGTTCAAGGTCCGATGGCTCTCTGGGCCTCGATGATGTCGCCTCTCTTTCTTTCTTCCGCTCGGGTCCAAACTTCGTCAGGTCCTCGTCTAGGCTCAACGGTTCCCTCAAAGACTCATCGGAAGATGGGAATTCCTGGTCGAGATCCGTGGAACGCGATGAAATTGCCTCGAACGGGATCCTCGATGCACTACCATAGCCTCCCTCCCCGTTCCAAGGTCGGGAGGTCACTGGGGGAGGAATCGAGCGAGGGTGGGACGATGGGGAGTGGAGGAGGATCCCCGCAACCGCTCTTCTCGCCTTCTCGTCTTTCTCCCGTCTCCAACCCTCGTGTCGTTTGAGAAGTCCTTTGCCTCCTGACAGATCTCTTGCTCTGTTTGAACAAGATTTCTCCTCTCTCGTCGCGGAAATATCCTTCTCCGACTTGCGAGCGTGCCACAGCCGTCTAATGGTTTCGTCTCTCGTTTCTAACGACTCCGATGAAGACGCAGTCGTATTCACGGATTCTTCGTCCTCGGGTCCATTTGGAGTTCCGTCGGTCACCAGTCCTTTCGACGATCCTTCCTGCGCCATAGGTCGTTCGTCTAGTATTAGTCGAGGTGCACTCCTCCGATCTCTTCCCTCTCCGGTTGCATCTTGCCTGCCAGTGTCCATTTCCTGCATCACGCTCCTTGACTTTTCTTCCCGCGATGCGGCTTCCACTTGGAAGTGCTTTGTCGTTCCCTTCTGCATGCCGACTTTCCCGCACGGAGACGCACGAGTCGTCATCCGTCGGTATTTAAAGGGTCGAGGAGGACCGAGGCTAGACGAGTTCCGTCGGAGAATCGTCTCCCCTTCCTTCCGTGGACCGAACTCTTCCGTGTCCGACGCGTCCAGCGATGCCAGAGAAGAAGAGGAAGATATTGGGTGCCTGGGAGCCGTGGCCAGGATCTTCGGCAGGATGCCGATCTCTACCGCCGTCTTCGATTCCTCCAGCGATGCTGTCGAAGAAGAAGCAGAAGGTTCAATGAAGCCCGTCGCAAAGCTGGCCGTAAAAGGAAGAGTCCATTTTTACCTCGGGTGTCTGGTAGCTCCTCGGGCTCGGTGCTTCCTCCCCGCATCTTCTCTCCCCTCGTTTTTTCCTTCTTTTTCCTCTGATCCCCTCTTTTCTCCTCGTCCTTCTTGCGTCTTTCGTCTTGTCCGTTTTCATCGGGTTTCTTTCTCTCTGTCTTGCCTTCGGCCTTCTCTTTCTGACCCCACTTAGCAAGGCCTCGATCTCGACATCCAGGGTCCTTCATCGTCATGCGGGGTTCCTCATCCTTCCTCGTCTTCGTTTCTCGTTTCCTCCGACCCGCCGGGGTCTTCTCTTCCATCGTCTTCCTTTCTCCCTGTCCATCGGTGACTCCATCTTCCAATTTCCCTCTCGATCCTGGTGTCTCGTCGTCCCTGTCTTCCAATTTTTTCTTCGCCCTTCTCCCTTCTTCCTTTTCCGTTTCACCTCGTTCGGCCTTTGGTCGCTTTTCAGGCTCTGTAAGTTCTTCTCGTGGATCAGTCGTTTTCGGATTTTCTTTCGAGAAGACGAACTTTGATTTCTCTCGTTCAGGTGCTAGCACATTCCGGCATTCCTCTTCTGACGGAATCAAACATCCCTCTGACGAAGGGGGGAAAAATACAATTAAACATTAAAAATTAAAATTAGCAAGAGTGGCATTTCGAACTTTCGAAGAGCATCGATTGGGTAAAAAGAAATGCGAATGACCTCGGTCACGGAAGACGAGCCTGGTGGTATCGAGACTCACGACTCGTGCCTCTGCGTGGGGAGCTTCGAAAAAGGCCGTCTTCCACTTCAACTGGCTCGCATCGTCCAGGTCCTCCAACCTGGAAAGGAAAATCCCCATCCGTCGAACACGTCTAGGCGATCTCACAGACGGTTCGGGCAATGTCAACGGCACATTTTCAGGTTAGGCAGCGTCGGACGGTACATCTTGTTTTTGCAATAATTGGCGGCAGCGTCCACGCAGTCCTTGAAGGCCCGAGAAGAGGCCAGGGCTTTCCTGCGCGGGACGCTCAGGAAACTCCTCAGCCCGGAGACGGCAGCGCCGACCAGGTCGTACTGGGCGCCGAAGGTCCCGGCCACGTCGCGGAAGTTCGCCAAATCTCCGACGGTGGAGAACGTCTTCTCTCCTTCGCGGGGTTGCTCTGCGGCAGCGAAGCGGCGATCCTCGATGCCAGGCGAAGGGATTTCCTGTCCCGTTTCCCGTCCCGCCGGGTGTCGACCCGGGGCAACCAGGTCGTCCCGGCTGACGAACGGCCGAAGGAGATCGGAATCTCCACGCACTCGTTTCCTCGGCCTCGTCTCCGGTTCTTCACTCCGTTCCAGACGTTTCCCCATCCTGCGGAAGTCACGAGGAATTTTCGAAACTCTGTCGCTCCCGATACGATGCGACCATCGCACGAAGAAAGAGACGAAAAAGCCTGTCCACAGAAAGAAGGAAACGGTCGAGCGGCACCTTCAGTCGCCACAATTCCCAGCAGAATCTCAACGACGGCGAGCTCATTTTGAAATTAGGATTCTGCAGCAGCGCAAGCCAGTTCGAACGAGGTCGATCCCGTCCACCACCAAAGGAGGAAACTGATTCCAGTTCGAATAAGCGAATTTCGTTCGGAAGGTGACGAGCGGAACGTTTCGAAAACTCTAAAATCGCAGGATTGCCCCCAGTCCAATTCCGTGGTGGAGAAGTAATCATCGTAAACCTTAAGGTGGATTTATACAGAGCGGAAAACGTAAAAAGTGAGTACGGAGGCTTCTGCAAATGAGATGATAAGAGCATGGGGACTGGGCAATGGAAGAGAACTCGGAAGGAAAATATCGGGAAAACGTTTCGATCGGGTGAGTCGAGGCAGTTCTTCGCAGGATGGAACTCAAGTCATTCTGTCCAAAACAACGGCGAAAGCAACGGCGGAAAGTGGAAATTTCCGTTTTCAAGCTTGACGAACTTCATTTGTTTGACGAACGCCATTCGCTTTCCGCGTCGTTTTCCGCTCTGTATACTGTAAATCCACCTTTAGAAGGGAGGACTGACCATTTTTTATTTCAATGCGAAGAAATGATTCAGCAAATATTCCGTGCATCAAAACCGGTGTGAAGATGCATCGAATAAATAGGGCCACATCGCTCCGTTGCTATTCTTCGCAATTCCGCTGGCTTCGTTGGACCACTGGCTACCCAGCGGATCGATATTTACCGGCTGAAAAGCCTCAACAGACCGCGTTTTGGGCATTCATAGAATGCGAACTCCAACTGTTCGTGCTCGGTTTTCCACTTGTTTCAACAGGGAGGAGGTAATTCTCTGGCTCGTTTCATGCATCACGAGTAAATAAGTTTTCGTTTTCCTCTCACGGGATCGTGTCCAAAATAGATCGAACGGAATATGACTGCCCAAAGGTGATGTGTGGGCGTTGCCTCATTCGCGTCTCGAGTTTTCGTCGAAAACAAAGCAAAAAATTACGTCTTGGAACGAGATTAGATAAGGCTATTTCTCCCTGGATCCTTGCGAGACAAATCATCTCATGGGGACCTCATCATCGTTCATCTTGCCAGACAAATATGCTCATTCCCTCGAAGAGATAGGTCTCTCGTCTTCCTTCGCGATGCATCGCGCATACTAAACTTGGGAGAGATGGAAACTCGAGCCAAAAACAAATACACATGCAGCATAAAACATGCAGCTTTGCTTAAATTGCTTGCATCTTCGTTTATAAGAGCGCGTTTGTGCAGAGTGGAAGTAAACGGCTATAAAAAAATTAAAAAATCTATTTCTCAAAAGCTGCTCAACTGTTCAGACAGAAATACCTATTTTTGAACCTGTTTTTTTGTATCATTATGTCGGCCGTGGAAACGAATGAAGGTTTTGCCCTGGGAAATGAATGTTCCGAATCTCAAAAAATACCGGCCAATGAAAAATTTGGAGAAAGCATTTCCTAAAACTCCTTTAATGCGGGCTTCAAGGGCTGGAATGGTGCAATTGAAAACGTCCGCAAAGTACCAAAAGGTATCAAAGGTACCAAAAATACCCTGATAATGCTGATGCATACAGGAAAACTCAAGTGTTTTTTTAGTTAATGAACGGACTCTTCATTTTCAGATAATCTTATATTAATTTTGTATT